TCATATCTGATCACATAACCTCTGGACTAAAGCAGTATGTCAGCAAATATTTCTGATTATTTAAAATATTAAATAACTGCAATTTACTAGGCGGGTCTTCCTCAGAACAATCACAAAAATTTTCAAGAATTGATATCCACATACAAAAAGCATTTAGATGGCCTGTTACAAGTCTCTGAATAATAATAATTAGAATAAAAAATCACCTCTCTCTGTAATAAAGCCCAGTTTAAATACATTCTGGGATATACCAGTGGTGGAGGAGCTGCCTTTCTATGACACTCGGCTTACAAGGAAAACTGGAGCAGCCAAGGACAGATAGGGTAGGAATCACTTTACCTAACTTTAGCTATATAGATATTAGATGCCTAATTTAAGCTAATCATCTGGCTTCCCTCTACCTTCCCTCTAATGGAGATAAGCATTCCCAGAGGGAGATTCATCCTGCTTTTTTTTAGGCATCTCTCTTCTAGATGCTTGCAGATGAATAAAGTCAAGAAATATGAGTCTCACTGACAGCCTCATAATCTGTCATTAGCAATGCACAATGTCCAAATTCTTGGAAATAAAGCCGGAACTGAATTTGTCTTTTCTTTCATCATTTAGCCTTTCATTCTCCCCTCAACCCAACTTATTCTTCAGTTCCTTCCATGAGCATCAACTTTCTCTGGCACTTTTTTTTCTTACCCTGGACTGTGTTTTCTGAAACCTGGGGAACTGCAACCGATGTCAATATTTTGCTGCTCTGCCAGTTACAAATCCATTTACATGCATGTGCTCTAAATTGCAGTAATGATCTGAACATGTAGGTAAGTTATCTTATTGATTGCAGTTGATCGCGATTGTGCTTTCTGGGTCTACTCTACCACTTTCAAATGTGTAAAAATCTGTGGCAACATTAAGGCAGTCAAGGTATATAGATGAATGCTAAAATATATTTACTATTCAAAGAAGATGGCTTAAATCAAACGAGGAAAATTAAGGAAGAAATACCATTAGGGCCCTCACTTGTACATGCGTGAGCCCAAATCACCACACATGCTTTGAGGCCTCTGTGCTTCAGAATATTGAACAAGTCCTAAAGGTGAAGCCTGGCCTCAATTCTTTTGCATTTAGGGTTTGTAGATTCTCAGCAATACCAGCATTGCTGCATCACACCTTTGATGACCAAGCCCTTAGAAACAGTAGCCGAGATTTATAAGGAAGCAGGTGTCTGAACTAAAGACTCCTGAATTCCTAGCTGGGTGCCTAAAGCAGCAACAAGACTGTCAAGCACCCTGCCCAGCTGCCCACAGATGCTCACCACAGTAGTGAGGCACTTAGCATTTGTTAAAACACAAAACGGATGTTTATTAATTGTGTATTTTTTAATTGTGTTCTAATGGCTACTTGAAGTGCCTTGGCCGAGTGCTTGCGTGCACTAATTCCAATATTGGGCATGCAGTCTACTCTGCGTCTTATTCCTACAGATTTTTTAGAAAATTAATTTTAATAGTTAAAAAAACAGCTTGAGCTGCATACGTGAAAATAACTCCGTTACGACTGAATGACAATCTAATACGAAATAAGAATAGTCACCATTTTTTCTTACTCTGCCCAAATCCAGGCAATAAATTAGGCTTCTCAGCATGACTGTAAAGTGCTGTGAATTGTATAAACAATCATATATGGACACTGAAAAATAACCCTTATGCACATTGCATTATAGTTCCAAAAATATATTTACAGTCTATTACAAAGATTACAAATGGAAGTGTCTATGTATCGGGATTATGCTAGTTAAAAGCTTTTTACAGATTTTCTTCAACAAAGGTGGGTGGGGACAAAAAATTAGTAAAACCAAACTGATTTTTCTAGTGAAACAAATAAATAAAATGACAAATATAACACTGTACAGTGATCTAAAAAGGGGGAGAAAAAAGGAAGGGGGGAGAAAGGATGCATTTAAGTTTTTGATAACTATCTTTGGTCCTAAATGTGGGAAAACACATTATGTAGCACTGAATATACATGTTTGTTTGTGATGCTCTGCAAGTAAAATAGAAAAATATAGTGCATTTTCAATGTATTCAGAGCTCACTACACATAAATGTGTGTACAAAACAAGACAGTATAAATAAAATTTACAAGTTTTACAAAGGAACATTTACAAGGTTTTTCTTTTGTTTTTTATTTTTTTTGTGTGGATGCCCACATTATCAAACCAGACCAATTTATGACTGATCCCTGGGATCTTTCTCTATCAAAATCAATAGAAGCAGCCCAATTCTCTTTGGAAGTACAGCATTTCATTGCTGGGGTAGTTCACAATTTTCAGATTTTTTTTTTTCAAAGCATTTCTCTCTGGTTCATGTACATTCTTGCAATATCTGTAAAGACTCTGTTCATTATTGCTTATGGTAATTAAATATTTTAATCAAACAAAATTTATATATAAGTAAATGTTGTAAAAAGATATTCCATTGAGCAACTACCTTTGCATCTCTGTTCCTGATGAATGACCATTGTGTCTGTGTGACCACGTACACGCATGTTCGTTCAGAGCAGCAAAAGCTTGTAAAAAAATTGAAAATTCTGAACTGCCCCTTGTCTCATGCTCTACAGTTCTCATATAAAAGCTATGTCCTTATTCTGACAGCTGGACTGCATACAGCTTAAACTCATAGAAAATATACACCAGCTATTTCTCTTAGATTTGCTAATGCAGAGTACTGAAAAAAAAATGTGATGTGCTCAGATTAAATGGTTTAGGTAACACTGGAGAACTGCACACATACTCTGAGACACTCCTACAATCACTTGTCCATTCAATGCTGTGTCTCAGCAGGTTTACAGCTGTAGATCTACATCTTAGAATATATCTCAGTTTAACTCTAGTCCATTAAAATCATCTTGCAAACAATTTGCTAAAAGTGCCTAGAACTACTTAGGGGTCATTATTGCTTTTCTTTTTCTTGCTTTTTTTTTTCTCTTTTATTTTCTTTTAAAAGATAGCATATGTATAACCTTAAAAAATTCTTTAAAAAATATCAGAGCTCTTGGCAACTTGCATTTTCCTGACTCCCTGCCAATTAGCTAGCCATGTCAATACGGTGTTGACTTAACAAAAGGAAATGGCACAAAGGGATACCAAAGTTCAGATAGATATACATTGCTTGGTCATGCTTCTTAAATCTCTAGGAACTCAAATTCAGAGGTACCCAGTGTAGTAATGTGTCATTGAATTAGCACTAAAAAGGTCCAAAGATATAAACATCATACTAAAAGAAAGTCTTTATGAAGAATAAACACAAATGATTAAAAAAAGATTCAGAAATCACAGATTTAAGGAAAATATTTTGTTGAATTCAACAATAATATCATGATTTTATCTGACAAATATATTCTTTTTTAAATTTTTATGTACATTTAAAAAGTCTATTAGATAAAAAGGAGGTTAGAGAGCTCAAGGTGTTTGTATGTTTATTCAGGTAGTACTTTGTTTATTGTCACTGCTGTTTTCCTTGCCACCACTGGTGGATCCTAATTCCCTTTTCATAAATTCTGGTGGCACTTAGGAGTTCAAGTCTGTAGGTGCTTCTTGTAGCTCTTCTATTCACTGCAGGAAGGACCCAGGAAATCAAGTGTCTTCTAGCAGCACTTCATATATACTGAAGGCCAGTGCTGTTCTCTCAGTCTGTCACCTCCCTCATAAGGGAGAAATGTCTATCACACTTGGATGCCAGTGCCGTGTAAATGTAGCATTTGTGCTCTCATAGTCTGAATGCTGCTCATGATTTTCTTTTGATGACCAACCAACGTGATCCCTAAACTCATCACATCCCTGGGGAAGATAAATGCGTACATTGTTAATTTTTCAACTTAGACTGCTATTGTATGGCATTCAACTGTGAGTCAAAGCTACGCAGTGGTTTGGACTACGGGGTTCTGAACTACATGGAATCTACGCTGTAACCTCAGCTCAGTACTGGGAATTTCATACAGGCACTGTTCAACCTCTCAGCCACGAGTGCAATTACATGACAGGTGTCATGCAATTGCACTGTGTGGGTCTCCACATCTGAGAAGGAGGTCAGTATGTTTTACATAATCTTATCTGATCACCTTATGGTGTGTCTGTTAAGGACACCCAAAGACAAAGACACTTCTCTTGTAAAGTACTTTGGGTAGTTTTCAGGACAAAGTTATGTGTAAATACAAGATTTTGGGGATCATAGTCTGTTTCCTAAAGAGATGCCTAGATGCCTTTGCACATTGACACATTCCCATCATGCAAATGAGTGAGGAGAAGCAGTTTGAACTCCGCCCCTACTAATGCTAGAAGCCTGTGGACTCTGACAACAGTTCCCAAGCTATAGGCTGAGACCCCTGGTGACACCAGGCAGATAAGAATAGGGTTGAACTCTTGAGAATATTGGATTAGAAACTTTTAGAAACCCACTGCTCTCTAAGAGGAATTATATGTGTTTGGCAACCACCAGGACAAGAAAGTTTTTTGCAGGGTGCCAAGAAGACCTGTTTTAAGATGACAGTACTGATACAGGCCGTGTTTGCCTTCAGAAAATTGTTTTGCTTCTACAGACTTATCCTGATGCAAAGTCCTGTCTTGCAGGACACAGACAGCCCCCAGCCAATTAGAAGAAAATTCCACATCTTCCCAGAGCACATTGGGAAAAAGGTACCAATTAGGTGGTGGAGGCAAAGTAGTATTTTCCTACACATACATACTTTGGAAGGGGCCACATTCTCCCTCAAATTCTAGTCCCTTTGTGTTATTTCAATTGGTCTGAAAGGCAGGGAAAAACGTGATGCCACACAGAGGTAGCAGGGTATTTGCCCTTTCATGAGATGCTCTAATACAACATCATCAGCTGCTAAAATGGCTGATTTGACCCCCAAGTACAACGTTTGTACTCAAGGTAAAGTTTTGGAGTTGAACAATGTGTATTGTACCTAGAAATTCCCTAAATGCAAGTTAAACATGCCCAGTACTAACTTACTCAATAGTCATCCTGGCAACTGATTCAAGAGAGTTGTAGCCTGCTGCTGTGAAATTATCCTTATATCTTTCCATCTTAATAGCTTGTAACCATTCGCCTACGGAGCAGAAAGTGGTAAAATCGGGAGTGTTCTGGTCCAGAAGAGGGCTAATTGGTCTATGGAGAAGGAAAAAGGAAAGTAAGTTGTTTCCAAAGAGAGTAAAACATCAGGGAGTATTTAGCAAGGTGAGAGTCAAATAAGTTTTGGGTATTAAAAATGTCAAGATTAGAAAGTAATAGGCCTTTATACACAGTTTAGATTATTCTGTGAATAGCTCTTGACTGCTCTGTAGCTCACAATATGTACTTCCTAAGCTTATTCACATAAAAGATGAAAGGTCAGAGTGAGCAAAATCAGCCTAATGGACTACTGTTACCAACAGAAAATCAACCTTATTACCTAGCATGACAGCAGCTGTCTCTATGTTGCTGAGTAAAATAAAGATGCTATTCTTTTACTCATCTTAGAAAATATAGTAGCAGCTACTCCCATTTTTCAATTGGATGGGACAAAACAAAGACAAAGGAAGAGCAGAGACACAAAGTCTTAAGGTCACACAGCAAATCAGTCATAGAAGAATCAGGAGCAGAACACAGGCCAGCTGATTCCCAGTACAGTGGGATAGCTAGCAGATCAAAGGATTACCATGATTAAATAATTCACCTGAAATTTATGAAGAAGCCATTAAAAACTACATCATGAAATACAATGAGATGCAATCACTGAAAGGAGTTAAAGCCAGAAAATGAAAGATAAAAATCTAGAGGGTAGCATGTCAAGGTACATTGGCCAAGCATGAGTATTGTTAATTACTATTTCTACTGTAGCAGTTCCTTGGGCAAGGGATGTATCATATAAACATACAGTAGGCAATGATCCTTGCCCTCCAGACTTTATAATTTTAAGAAACAAGGAAAACACAGACTAGTGATGAGAGTACAGAAAGATGAGCAGGCAGTAGTTTACTGAGAAATGTGTTAGTTCTGCGATATTTATTTTGGTTTGTTTTTTTCTAAGAAAGTCCTACTTGGCTTTGTTTAGCATGGTAAAAAAGAAGGGCAAATGAGGGAAGAGAAGAACAGGGAACAGAAAGAAGGAAGAACTGAAAGACAGATGAAATAAATAAGTGTGAACTGGAACCAGCCACCAAGCAGAACATCCAGAGCCCAGCCATGTGCACTGTCATAAGAACACACACCAAAGCTTTTCTTACCTGCTACAGGTTCCCAGGGGGGTTTTCAAGCTGTTTGGATTTCTAATCATTTTGTCCAGAATGCCAACTATCTGCTCAAACTTTGGCCTTTCACCGCGTTCCTTCTGCCAACAATCCAGCATCAGCTGGTGCAGTCCTGCTGGGCAATCCATGGGTGCTGGCAAACGATAGCCTTCTTCGATTGCTTTTATAACCTAGTAGCCAAAATAGTTAATCATTTTTCATCAACAGTAATTTAAAGAATAGGTATTGCTACCCAGTTCAAATATCTAAGAAAAAATAAAATAAAATAGAATAAAATAAAATAATCAATAAACAAAAATTTGCCATTGGTGTTGCAAAAATGTGAGTCCGTTGTTTTAACACTAGCCTTCGGTTTTTCAAATCATTTCCCCAGCTTTATCTTTGGGCTTATTTAGCATATTGTTCTATATGTGCAGAACATAGCTATATTACCTAGACAAGTGAGTAGCAGGGAACAACAATTAAATTCACTGAGGGAGCAGCAGATAGATTGATAAATTGAGTTATTTCAGAAAGCATTATTACTAGCCCCAAGGTTTTTATGAAAGAGTGTGTGGTAGAAGCAACTGACTTTTAAATGGATGGATATCTGTGCATGCACATATAAAATACAAAAAGCCTGAAGGTATTATAAAAGGATCCAAGAAAAATGTTTAGCAGATAGAAATTGCTAAGGAAAAAGGTTGTATTCTATGTCTAGCCATGTTATATGAATGATAAAGCAGCAGAACTGTATGAGAGAGAAAGACCTGGGTATATATATTAAAATGCTATTTTAATATATCACAGAAAGTTAGATTTAATAAGAGATGCTGCTAGATGATGATATGATCAAAGGACAGCATAAATGTCTGAACCAAGAATTACACCCACCCGTTGACTTCCTTAGCCGAGTCCATTTGGATTTAAGTAAAAATAAAAATGGATAAAGTAAAATCACAGCAAACTGCTGTAAACCTTGAGGGCAGAATAAAAAAAGCACATCAGGAAGCAAGGCAGATAAGAAAAGCTAGTGAAAAAGGGCTAAAACACTGTTCATGGGGGATTTCAAGTATACTGACATTGACTGACACAGCAGCATTAGAATTGCTAAGGAAGGGTGCTTGTTCCTGAAGGGGACTGTCTTCTCCCTCATTTTGTAAAGAAAACAAGATCAGAAGCTGTTCTAGATGTAGTTCTGGGATGTAGATCTGGTATGATAAATAATGTTGGTAAATATCTAGGTTTTAGTAAATATAATAACCTCAGAAAGAAAATATTTTGTAGGTTGTGTGAGAAAACACAGAAGTAGTGGACTGCAAAGTAGACAGAACTGCCGACAATACAGAATGACCTTCAAAAAAGCTGGCTGAAATCCAGCCAGGTTTTGTATAAAAACCTTTTGCATAAAAGAAATTTTGTGAAAAGAGAAGGTATAGCCTAGTGGTAAGGCACTGACTGCAGTTTTGTGTCACAGAATGTCCTTTTGACCTCAGGGAAGTTGCCTCATCTCCCAGGCCTCAGCTTTCTCTCTGAACATTTAGAATGACAGAACTGTCCTACAGCTCAAAAATGACTGAGAAATATTCAATTCCTGCAGAAACATTCACACCTTGAAGACTGAGTGCAGTGACCTTTTACAAACGTTGAAGTTGTCTGTCAGGGAGGGTGTGGAGAGAGGTTTTCTGCAGAAGAACAGGGAAATTGGAAGAACAGAGCTATATAGTGAAGAAAACATAAAAAGTAAAATGTAAGATCCTTTAGAGCTATATTAAGAGGAAAAAGAAAAGAACAGCTCCTTATGCTTAGAAGTAGTAGTGGAATGAAAGTGAAAAATAATCTACAGTGTGTATAGGACAATTGCTGTGCTGTGAAAAGTAATGCAGGGATTTCTGACCCTCTAAATGGCAAAAGGTATTAAACACTTTGAGCATGCTATGTATGATTTACTACAAATGAAGTAGTTGCTTAAGAAGTCAGAAGACAGAGATCACCAATGAGAAACTAAAAAGTAGGTGCCAGCAACAACAGTTCAACCACTAAAATATCTAATACCCTTAAAACTGGCAAAGTATCCACATAAGACTCTATCCAAGAATGTAAGGGAGAGTGAAAACATGAATGAAGTGATCAGAACAGGAGTTTTCCCCATTCACTATGAACTGCAGATAAACCTGAAGAAAACTGGGAATCAAGATGATGATGATGATCTTTTTGAAAGGTGTTACTTCAGAATCAGCTTCTCTGATGTGTATTCTGAGCAAGAAGGGTGAAAATGGGAAATATGAAATAATGAATCAGCTAGAGATGGATGGAATTGCTGTGAACACCCAAAACACTGAAAAAATATTCTAAAATATTGATAAGTAAAGTACAAGTGTCCACTCTGCTAAGAAAGGAGGAGGTGTGGTTCAAAACATCAGTAATCAAAGAAAATTAAATAGATGCAGGATTTTTTTTTAAATAAGCAAACCTACAAAGAGAAAACAGCTGGAGTTCTCACTAATAGAATTGATTTATATTATCTACACTTCCCCCAATTCGTTTTTGAAATTCTGCTTTTGCTGCAAAAAGAGTAAAAGGGGATACTGTAAACACTATACTTTTACCATAAGCAGGCTGAGTATGCAAAACAGGATAGAAAGGACTGGGTCTGGTTATTTTATATTCTAAATGCCAACAAGGAAGTATTAAATAAGGGTAACTGGACAATGTGATGTTGTAACTCTGACTATGGTCATAGAATATAATAATACAAATTATTGATTATAATAATGGTAAGAAATCCAGAAGTATAGCCTTGCCCTTCTCTGAAGAACAAATCTGCACTGAGGTTAGAAACAAATTGGGAGCAAGAACATCAGCAATCTAATAGGGGAATGGGGGTTTGAGGGCTCCTGGTACTAGCAAGGATTAAACTGAGGTGAGCCCACTGCTCAGGGAAGTTGGGACCTCTGTCTATCATCTGTGCTCAGCCTGCTGTGCCTCTGCAGGGACTTTGCAGGGTGAGTGTTCTTTTCGTGCATCCTAGCCCCAGGCCATTGCAAAATGGAGGGTTTTGCTTGAGAAGAGTTCACAATGCAAATCTGTAGCTTCCATCAGTCTAAATCAATGACTTAAAGGAGGAAGGGCAGGATTAAAGAAATGCTAACTGAAGATCCAAAGTCAGGGAGGCCTATTATTTAGGAGATCTGGTCTGCTCTATGGCTACACCCACATCCACTTTTAGGCAAAATGATACACTTAAAATATAAAAACTGAGTGCAAAATTAGAAGAACACATTTAGAATTTTTCATTACCGTTAAATACTCCAACTGGTGACTTTGAAGGAGAATAAATAACAAATCATTAGGTGATTCTAAATATGTGCATCATAGATTATCTAGGGATTGGTAGGATGTGTATATGGTATGGAAGAACATGCCTGAAGATCACAACATACAAGAATATTTGGAATTATTTTACCAAGCAATTGATGCATCTTTTAACTATGTGCTATTCAAGAGTATCATGAAAGATGCTAAAAAGGGATAAAACTGTAAGAAGTGGCAATTAGCTGTTTTTTGAAAGCTCTTTTTTTCATGTGTTTTACATGCAGTTTTCAACAGAGGAATACTTTTCAAAATCTAATAAGAAGCATAAAGATATCAAAATTTCTCCTCGGTTTCAAAGTTTTTCCTTATTGTTCCCTGAAAGATAGGTAAGGTTTGCCTTTGAGGCATCTTATATTCCTGTCAGACTTCTTTTATGTTTGAATCTAGTACAGAAGGAAGGTGTCAAAAGAAATGAAACTCTACTGGGTGTCTGGGGAATGTAAATATTTCTCTTTCTCTGCCCCAAGGACTTGTTTGCCCATATTTTGACAGTCCATGAAATCTTTGACACTGAGACCTGTCAAATATTAACAACTTTGCACTGTGCCAAAATGACTCATCATCTACATTTTTATCTTTTTTTTTTCCAACTTTGATGTTGATCATTCAATCAAAAATTAAAATAACAATTAAAAAAACCACTCAAGCTTCAACCTGAACAACTTTAAATGAGACTCTTTCTGACATTTATCACACCTGTATGGCTTTTTCCTGTGTAATTTCTATATTAATAGATACTCCTGTCAGAAGTTGAAATTAACACCCATCTGTTCTATTACTGCTGACCTGTTGCTCTGGATCATATTTTATGCAAACAAGGGTACTTTTAAATCAGCATAATTAACTTGAAAAAGCCAAAGTAGGTCATTAACTGCCACTCAGACTTTTAACAACTTTTTTCAAATGATTAATCATTGCTCTAAGGTCAAAAACCTCCGAATTACTTTTTATTGGAAAAAAAAAATTCTTTCCACACTTAAGCATACTAAAGACTCCATATTACTATTTTGATGTTCCAGTTTTAATTGATACTTAGGACAGAAACCTACAGTATCCATGTGGTAAAAAAAAAAAAAATTTTGATTTTGGTAAAAAGTGAAAGTGAAAACTTTTTCATTTTGTGACAACCACACAGTACTTTGATAAGTCTTATTTCTAAACCAACATTTTATGCATTTATAGTGAAACACATACGTATGTGTTTGCAAGATGTAATTTTGGTTTTATTAACACACATGCACGCTCATGAACAGACAAACCTACATCTTGGTTTGACATGTCCCAGTAAGGCCGTTCTCCATAAGACATTACTTCCCACATAACTATTCCATAACTCCACACATCACTGGCTGATGTAAATTTACGGTACTGAATGGCCTCTGGAGCTGTCCATCTCACTGGAATTTTTCCACCCTATGAAAAAAAGAAAAAAAAAAAAAAAAAAAGGAGAAATTTTTCTCTGTCACCCACGGAATTTTCAGGTCACCTTCCACAGAATGCATTTACCATTATTCCCATCAACATCAAGAGCAGCACTTACATGATCTGCTATGGTGGACCGATTGCAGAATTTTCAAAGGTGCCTAAGGAAACTTAGTATCTTAAAACACTCAGAACATAGACACTTAGATACTTGTATAAGCTACCTTGAATGAGTTTCTCTGGAAGTGCTTATCCATCCCTCCACTGATTTTAAAGGGCTGCTTAGATGTCTGATTTACACTAGCCATTCAACTCCTGGCTAGCTGAAGCTGGGTGAGGGGAATCCCAACCTGTGCATATAAATCCCATTGACGTGTCATATGGCTCCTCCAAAATCTTGGTCTGACATTTTTAAACCAGGATCCCACTCAGAGCCCAACGGCAGGAATGACAGCCGTGAGCACCGGTGTGGTTTCCTGGATCCCTGTGCCTGTCGGAGCAGATTCCAGGGGCCCCTCCTTCCCTCAGCATGGGAAAATAGGTACAGGGAGGCCCCATGGTGGGAAAGTGGAGCTGGCTCAACAAAAGAATAAAGAGCATAGTGTGCCTGATGAATGCATATTTAAGAGAAGTGTCCCACCCAAAAGCAAGGGAAAATACAGAAGTTGAGCTTTGTCACAGGCTAGCCTCCAGCTAGTCTCTCCCTTTGGTGAGATAAAATCTAGCCTGAAAAATAGTAACAGCCTACAAATATTTTAATTGACTCATAGTAAATTAGATGTTTAAAATGTTTGTGGGTAAAACTCCCTTATTTGTTCAATCAGAAAATCATGAGAAATGGAATAAAGAAGATACCATACAAAATGTTTAGAACTTAGTCAATAAAAAATTATGTTCTTATGAAAATATTATCCCCTAATTAGAGACAGATGTCTGCAGAGACTCTTCCTTTTGACTGGTTAAAACTCCCCATCAATTAATGTATTTGTCTTATCTATACTCTCCAGAAGATACACTTCTTCTAAATAACCGTATCTCAAAACTATTAAAACCCATTGATTTATCTTACGGTTGTAGTGTAGACAGCCTCTGGATCATCTTCTATAATTCTGGAAAGGCCAAAGTCTGACACTTTACAAACAAGGTTGCTGTTGACAAGAATATTGCGTGCTGCGAGATCCCTGTGTACATATCCCATATCGGCCAAATATCTCATTCCAGCAGCAATTCCTCGCAACATTCCCACTAGCTGAATGACAGTAAATTGCCCATCATGTTTCTGGAGGGAAGAAAGGAGCAGCAATTCTTGTTAGTATAGCTGAGAAGAGAAATAAGGATTAGTTTTATGACTTCAGCTTTCCACTTATTTACTCCTTCTGTGGCAAAGAAACTCACCTCCAACACACTTTCTTCAGTGATAAAGTAGTGCATCCAGTTAAGAAATGTGTGAGTAATTAATGTACTGGTAGTAACAAAACTTGCTAACCACTGTATATTTCTCACTAACTCATGGCAAGTCACTTCCAGGAGAGATTATCTAATGAAGATTTCTAATGTTCTTATAGCTTGCTCTTCATCTCTCAGAATAATTATTTGTATCAAGAAAATAAGAACTATCACCTTTTTGTAACCCTAGCTACTGATAATTTTCATTCACAGCTTGGAGTTTATTAAAAAAAATAAGTCTGTTCTCTATAGAGTGTTTACATATCATTTCACCCTGACATGCATACCTGGTAAGCAGTCAGAACTGGCAAGTTCAGAACACACTTAAACAACACTAAATTGTTTTGAATTCGCATTTATTTTTTCCTTGTTCATCTCTTAAATAGAATTGTAATTCCCATAGAGATTCTTTTATGCTGATTTCCACCATGCTGACAGAGTAAAATTCTGCTCCCAAATGGGCGAAGATTTGACTTCAGGTATCAGTGGTTTTAACTTCAATTGGTGGCTATAACCATGTCTATGCTACACTAAATCACATAAATTCCAGAATGATTCTGTCTGATCTTCTAATTTCTGATCTGGTTTTGCTGAAACAACATAGAGAACCTGCTAGTATTGGTCAAAACTCCATTTCAACCTGAAAACCATTTTAATTATACTTAATTAAATATAATAAATATAATACAAACATAATTAATATTTTAATTATATTTAATTATATATGCATGTATACATATATATGCACAGGTATAAGAAATATTTTTTAAAGTGTCAATATACAATTTTTATGACTTTAAATATGTTTGTTTAAGTTTTCATTTTGGTACTCACCCTAAGAAATGCATCTAAGGCCCCATTCTCCATGTATTCTATTACAATCATGACTGGTTTCCCTGAAAGAAAAGAGGACAGATATTTGAGAGTAGTAAAACAAATGGAGTGCCTTTTTTTGATAAAACACACGCTATTCCTTTGAAGGACTGAATCATTCAGACACTGAACATTTCTGAGCCCTCCAGCACTGTTACAGAGCTCTAATTTCTTAAATATCTGCATGGAAAGTGGTCATGATTCATAAAATCGAACCATACAAATCAAAAAGTCAGTGTGTTCTCCTAACTCCTGCTGTGTGAACAGGACTCTGGAATAATGACACTTCAGATTATATGAAAGGACATGAGAAACCTTATCTCTCTGCATGGTCTTTGAGGCTAAATGAAACTAGAAAAATAATATGTTTCAAAGTACTTCATCTTTTAATCATGTGTGCATCTAAATTTTTTTCCTCAGGTTGTAGCATAAGGTAAGTATTGTTTTAGTTAGTTACGCATCAGGAGAAAATCCATTAGGAGTGTGCGGTCTGTTTATAATTTGAATCTTTGACCATGAATAAGGCAGAGTAAATGTCTGCCATTGTGTTGTTATTTGACTGACAGACCGAGCTGCTGCTTACCTCTGGTAACAACTCCTTCTAGGTGAACCACGTTGGGATGGTCAAACTGTCCCATGATGCTTGCTTCACACAGAAAATCTCTCCTCTGCTTTTCAGTGTAGCCAACTTTCAGAGTTTTTATGGCTACTGCAACGTCTCTCTTGCCAGGAAGCTTTAGACGCCCACTGCACACTTCACCAAACTCTCCTAAAATGAAGCAGATCAATGCTGAATTACTCTGAATACCAGTATTTTTTTTAGGCCTTGATTCAAAGAGCCACCTAAGCGTGTGTTTAAATTTAATGTGTTCATATTTGAAATGGATTACTTCGGCATGCGCCTTAAATGAATTACTGACCCTTACGGAATAAACACTTCAGTTAAGCCAACTGACAGGAGTATTATTTGAAAATTTTAAGAGACTTGTTAACAATTTCTTGCATTTTTCCAAAAACAGAAAATAAAGAATGAAGTGGCTTTCATAAGAAAACACTATTATTGAAATAGTAATACCATTCGTAAGTAAAAATGTTATTCCGCTCTACATGGTTTCCTTGCTATCTTTGGTTTCAATGGGCTTTTTTCTTTCAGAAGGCAGGTCTTGCAGACCTGCTTTTAATTTAGCATCCTTATGGTGTTAAATGAAGCACTACATTATTACCTTCAAGCAGCATAATTTACTTTACAGATTATGAAATGAAAGGTGTGACTTAAAACAAATTTGTTACATTAAACAAACACAAGTAAATACTGCAAGTTTGTAAAAGGTTCTAAACTAACAGACAATTGGAACTTGAAGAAGCCTGTGATAAAAAAGACCAAACAGCCAGCAAGAACACAAAAAAAAGCCCCGACAACCAAATCTCAAGAGAAGTAATTGGATTCCATCAGACAGAAAAGAGGATGAAAACATGTGAGATGTGGAGCTGAATGGCAATATATCTACCTCACTATTAACGAGATTATCAAAGATTTAAGAATTGTCCCTTGCCTCACAGCTGTGTCAGCAGAGAGCAGAAGTGAGATCTCCAATTCTGCAGACAGGAAGAAAAATCTCCTTGTATACATAGAAGAAGAAGGTAGTAACAGATGTTACTGAATAAAAGATTAACCACAAAGATATTTAATAATCTGGTACTTCACAAACACATCTGGAGTTTGAGAGATATGGTTCCAAGTCCCTCCCCCAAATCAAATCAAGTCAGAAATTTCTCTCCTCCATACCTGTGGAGTGCCTTAATATTAAGCTGTTACATGTACCCAAGTATGCAGACACACCTACATCTAAGACGTGTTTTAGGATGAGTGCTGAAACAAATGACTGAACTAGACAAGACCTACACAGAGAGTTTGATTAGAGAATCCTTTTGTGAGAAACCTTGTGGGATCAGGACTTAAGTGGACATGCAGACTGGCAAGGTGTCTGGCTGTCAGTGGAGAGAAGTATGCTCGAAGTTGGGCTGAATGCCTGAAGAGATAGAAGTTGGGGTGTTTTAATGGAAGGGCTGCAAAAAATCTTGTTTATGACATCATCAGTATTTGAACACTTCTCTTCTCCTATGAGCCCCAAATCGAGCTTTGGGAAATAAAAAAGCAGTACCTGGGTCTTGGCTTCATCCACAAGGGTAGAATTTTGATCATGCCTTTGACCATTTTTAACTGACTTGTTTGAGCAAACCTCCACTCAGTATGGCTCTTTTCATGACCCTGACAGGAGATGACTTCACATAGAATCAAATTTCTGTCCCCCACATTCTATGCTAGCTGAATCAAGGCTAGCTCAAATTAATTCCATACACCTCGTGCTGTACCTATGCTAATTGACCACACAAGTGTTCCTGCCTGCATATTATCCTCAACCATCCTTGGGCACTGATCTAAGAATGCCACAAGGTACAGCTGTTACATACACAAAACTAGCTGCTCATGCCCCAAGCTTGGTGCCTTAACCTCCCTCCTGCACTTCATTAGCAACGTGGATGACTATTAATGAATTCACCACTCACCCCACTCACAGCTCCTAGCCGCAAGAACTTCCTAAAGGGTAACAATTTTCTCTAGCAGTACTTTCCAAAATTTTTTCATTCCATGCCCGAAAACAAGACGTGAGTATAGGAGTGTGTCTGTGTGTCTGTGGTATTTCAGAGCCAGGTAATTAGGATACTTGGCACAGGAGACACTAAGGCTTAACTCCTTTCCAGCTCTCTGTGATCTGATTTTGATTGATTTCCAAAGGCAGATCACACACACTTGGGCAAACGAGAAATTTCACTTGTATGTTATGCATTTGAGGCCAGGATGCTAGCCAATTAACTACTTTTATTCCCAAGAAAATAGTACATTCAGCTGAAATGATGCCCAAAAATAAACTGGAAAATATGACAACAAGAGAGGGAATATTGCACAGCCGCACAGCCACTAGCTCAGCATGTCAACAAAGCAGAGGCTAAAACAAAGGATGTGTGGTATGAACAACTTAACATAGTGGACACCATATTCTGTATCTGACAGGTGGCCACAGCGGGATGGTAATGAAAGTGTTGGCGAGGAAAGCACATATCCCTCATGCAAATTGAGTACAAGCATACTTGCACCCTGTTTGTGTCTGAGAGACGTGGCACTACTCAATAGTTGATGTGGTCAGCATTGCTGATGCATATTGAGATTGCTAAGTGGCTTTTCTGGTGCTGTCACTAGCAGAAATTCCATATTCTTCTTTGATGTATGAGTTTCAACTGCTGCTTTGGGTCTGCTTGCTTCTGTTGTTCCTGGACTGCATTTCATTTCACTCCTGTTTGCTATTTACATCAACAGGTTAAAGCCATAGCTAAACATGATACACAATATGCTTTCACCACTGCACTCCTAATTAATTTTCTTCAGATTGACTACTGACACACGTTAGTTGTTTTTGCTATCAATTATACTCATTAAAATCAAAAATAAATTCATCTGCAGTCAAGAAAATTAACACTCTGGAATTTGTCATAACAGTGAAAATGCATTTTAAACAGTATACTCTGCAGCTCAAGTGTTCTCAGCATTTTTCTCAGAAGGCATTAGCAAAATCCAACTGAATATATCTTTGTGCTCTGAACTGTTGCTATGCTGGTAGCTTTTTAACTCAAAGCAAAAGATAAAGCTCAGCAAATTTTCCATGCTAATCTTGCATATTGTGTATCTATTAGAAGAGATGCTGCCATTCTGGCATCACAAAAATTACTAGTTAGCAAGGGCTGGATTCTTATGCTCTTACTCATAGAAGGAATAATTTGCTCAGCAGTCTGGTTAATTTCAATGGTACTACTCCTTGATTAAGACATGATTCAACATGACTGAGGTTACTTTTAAAAGGTGTTGTGAATTCTAAGTGTAAAGATTTTTTGACAGGTAAAACAACTTATTCTAATGATTTTTCTTCTTCTGTTTTTAAATAATACTGCAACATGTAATTTACAGTACTAAACTACAGGTGATTTTAAAAGAATTCTACTAATACTTACATAAAACAACAGGAAAGCTAAAGAACATTTCCTCCAGGAATCCAAAGTATTTGATATTTTTCTTACTCATGGAAACTTAATTTCACTACATGGAGTAGTGCAATAAAAATGTCACGTATCTTATTAATGCAAACAAATGAAACTGCCTTTTTAGAGCATGAACACCATGGCTTAAGTAGGTGGTAGACAGTTCAAGAGAAAAAAAGCAATGTAGTGCTGGTGCAATTACAATCAGTCATAAGAACTTAAACAATAACTTTTTGTATTCATAAAATATCAAAAAGAAAAATGGTAGAAGGAAAAACAGCTTTAGGGAAGATTTTGTTATAAAGAAACAAGACCTTCCCACTCTCTATTGAAGATTGTGTGCTGCAGCCAGTTTTCCTTACTCACATGAACAAAGCTGCAGAGGTCAAAAAGCCCCCTTGCAAAAGGCAAGCAAGCAGAATTTGCACAAATGCCTAACGCCTTTACTCCGACAGTAAATAATAGGCAGCACAACCGGCCCACTCCCCCCAGTTCCAATTTTAACAGCAGATACTCGATTAAAAACCCATAAGCTTTCAATGTCAAGCAAGACTTTTAATTTACTCATTTATTTGGGATTTTTTAGTTGTAGTTGGGCTTTTCTCCTGTTTGTTTTACATTTTAGAAGCGAGTGCGGCTTCATTGCTCTTAACCACTCTGGCAAATTCAAAAAGTTCTTCTATACCTGAGGTATAATTATTTGCCTGTCATTATGATGAATGAGTTTCGATCCCAGCTAAATGGAACAGTTGAATCAGGAAGCCACGGCAGCCTTACCTGCGCCAATCACACGCTCAATTTTAATACAAGAGGCATCTAGCTCCTTGGCGAATTGATGGACAGCTCTATTTGGGTCCTCGTAGGTTTCAGGGTCAATGTAGGTTTTGGTGCCTGGAAATTTAACTGTAATGATGTAAGAAAGCATGACTGTGATGAAGCAAAAGCACTTATTGTGCAGTCAGCCCAGGAATTTCATTATGCAGAGTGCTCCTTGGAAGAGTGAACCTGTTTCCATGCCGCCTGAGCCAGAGCCACTCTGAGAGGCAACCTTAGTTTTAGGCATCATCTGCAAGCATGCTGACACAAGTATAAACAATCCCACCTCTAAAAAATGACTAACATTAGCATCTGCATCTCTTCTTGAACTGAAAGAAATAATAAATATTAAATAGTGCTTAATGGAATAAAATGCAAGGGTTGAGTGGGAGTAAAAACAAAGCGGGGAAAGGGTATAACGCCAGCAGAGGAGGTGAAAGTTTCTTTTCCGTGTAAGGACATCTTATCCTCTTCACCCAGGATGTGTAAACAGCATTTCTTTATGTTATTTCTCTCCTCTAGTGGGATTTGAAAGGCTCCTCCAACCCCTTGAATTTGCTTAATCTACTGAATATAATATTGTTTGTAGACTGTGGCAATAGTCAAACTATTCACAGCACTCAGAAATTACAACCTTAGGTGTATTTCTTGCACTATAATATGAACATGAGAAACACCTGCAGCCAACTTGTAAAGGCACAGGAAGGCAAAGTGGCCTCTGTGGCACAATTATCCCCCTTCTCAAGCACCTAAGTGAATAATATGCAACAACTTGTTTTTTGCTCATTTTTTCTCCACGCTTAGTACAGCCCAGGCAGCATAGTGCTCTGGCCAGCATGCAGTTTTTTCCCTTAGTTTGATGATGGTTCAGGTAAATTATCTTTCACTATTCTGGTCAAAGCACAAGCTCAGGGAAATCTATTAATCAGTCAATTTTTATGATATAAATTTGTTCAGAAGAATTATACTCTTGAGCTTTAATTAAATCAGTGAATTAAAACTCAATATGAAAATGCAAAAACGTTCTTCTGTTAATTGATATAAACAAGAACAGGATCAAAAGTCAATACAAAACACAAATAATTTTCAGTGGCTTTGTATTCTTTGAATTTAACATAAAATATATTAAATTTGAAACTACATTGAAAAACAGCTTAGTAATCATGTGTATTTATGTTTTAGATGGTATTAATGACCTAAATCCACAAACCATAAGAAAAATAAAAACAAACCTAGAGAAATTGTTTCAGTAATATAATGAATTTACATCCAGGGAAATTATTTGAAATGTTGCCCAGATGTTGTTATCTGTCACATAATCTATTTAAATGGATGTTCTTTTAGGTGTATTGGAAATTTGAATGCTGATATTTTTTTAAAATTATAAATATTTGTTTCTTAAAACCAAAAGAGACTGGACAAAATGAGAATTAAGCAGTAGGTTGACCTCTGGTAGTAGTGCTTTAAGGCAAGGAGATGGAGAAGGAGACATCCTCTTGTGTTTGTGATAAAGGGCCTGGACTGGAAGTAACCTTGTGAATCTCAAGTGGGCCTTTGACGGGTCTTTGTTCAAGCTGTCATAAAACATTTTGACAGGCCAAGGCTATCCTGGCATAGCAACATGAAATAATGCTGGCCTGCATGTGCAGACATTGTTAGATGAAAAAGGGAGGAGGAAACCAAATATAAATCTGAATTGCTTGACTAAACTCCTCCATTGTACTTGTATTTTCAAGTGTAGCACTTGAGGTCAAATAGAGATGAAGGGAACTGAAATGAAATATATGATGGTCTATTAAATGCACTGCTTTAAAATCTGCTTTAAAAAATGTTTGCAAGTTGTTGTTCTAAGTAAGTGCTTGTTGTAAGTTACATTTCTGAAAATCCAGTCTGGTACCTCAGTGCAGAAGAATGTTGTCTAGCTACTACAGAACAAAAGGCCACCAAACTGGTGTTCACAGCTCTGTGACCAAGCTGGTGACCACAGCATTGGGTTCCATCTCACTCTGCACATGGCTATCAAATGAAATTAAATGCTACACCTACAATCAACAGATGAAGGAAAGCTAGTTTGGCAAGAAGTGACTTTTATCTGGTGCCATGATTTAAGAAACACTATGTATGCTCAATAATCAGGCCAGTTTGCTAGATAACAAGATTTCTTGAATGTAAAATGAGGGAAAGGAACACTTATAAAATTTCACCATTTCTGGATCAACTATCAATTACTAAGTAGCAGTTTTCAAATTAATTTACACTTTTACTGAAATAAAAAAGAAAAAATGTCACCAACAATAGAGATAAATTATTTAGTTAGTGTATCCCTTTTGTTTATAAACTGAAAAACAAGAATACACAGCGGATTTTTTCCTTCAAGGACATAACGGGGATTTTAAAAGTAAAAGTAGTAGCTCTTCTGGAGATGTGAAAAGCTTATAATGCACTATGAGAGGCAAATTTCAAATCCATCACTCCCAGAAGAGCAGCATTTAAGTAAAATGAGATTTTTGACAAATTCTTTAAAATCAGCTGCACTGCAAAATGCATGATACATAATTCTTATTAATATTTTCCACCTTTCTGGTGCAGTTTACGAATTGATTGACTAAAGCTGCAGTGATGTCACTACTTAGACACTCACTGCATTTAAAAAATTTAGATAGCCACACACCCAAACTTAGGAACTGTGATCAATTTCCAGCTTTTTTTTTCAGGGAAGAAAGGTAAAACAGAACCTTGATGTGATTTTGAGTGGAGCTTTGGCTAGAACTACTCATTTAAAGAGGAATGCATTGAGAAAATGCTTAGAATTTATGACTAGTGGATACTTCATTTTCCGTGTGACATTATTTTTAGATAATAGCTCATGATTTTAACATACTTAAAACAATCCCTATAGCTTTCATAAAAAAATAATAAATCTGATGGATTTAAGATACAACTGCAATTATTGGTAGACAACAAAGGCTACATACAGCATAGCATGACTAAATAACATGTACTAATATGAGAGTCACCAGGTATGGGAGAAGACTGGAAAGACTGGCATTGTTCTGCATCAGAACTTATGTTCAGTTTAATTCTGTGATTTTTTTCAATTATGGTTGCTCAAAATAATTTTGCAACTTAGTTTAACACACTTCCTGAGTTAATGACTAATTCTAAAACAGATTAAAACATTCCTCTCCCCTTACATTTTCAATTGTCATGAATCCAAGAAGGATCTGTTTTATTGAGTTTTCCCAGGGTTCTAGTTTAAGTTGAAATGGTAGATGTGATTTTAACAAGAGAGGCTTTAGGTACTATTCTTAGCCAAGCAAGTGATTGTACATCACACAACAGTAATGAAGTGGCTGACCTTTCTTTTCATATTAAATATTCTATTTTTAAGGACATTATGTTTTGTAAATATTGATGGTGCTACTGTATTCGCAGTAGCAGAACACAGCTTTTGAGCAGAACAGCTTCATTTTAGGGTGATGCAGTGACTCACACTTTCTTCATCTGAAGTTTGCCTGAGGTAAAGATCAAAAAGCCACTTAGGCAAAGGTCTCTTGAATACTGCACCTCAGAGGGATCATTAGGACAACGTGATACATGTATTCAAAGCAACCAAAAGAAAACAAAATATGCAGAATGAAACCAACACTATATCATAGACATTTATAGAAATAAAACCATCTGTGTGAGCAATGTTGACTTTAATCTGCGTTTTTTGTAGCTCACATTTTTACAGTGCTGCAATTTGGAATTTTTGAAAGGCGGGAAAAAAAGCAAAACACTTACAATGAAAGTAAAGTTCTTCATCCCCTTCTTGATCCGCTTTGCTATAGCCACAATGCCTGAAAAGAAAAGAAAACACCAGTTTTACTAGTAAATAATGATTTACTTATCACATCTAAAGTCCTGACAAAATCAGTTCTGCAGGCTGGGATTTTCAGGCACTGAGCACCTAACTGCTGTAGGCCCTTTGAAACTTTCACCTATAATTCTATTGACAGCAGAGTTTTAAATAAATCATGAACAGTTGCAATCAAAAGGCTTTTGTATCAAATACCAGTCGAGACAGGTCTTGGAGAAAAAAAATCTAGTTCTAGTGAAAGGCTTCTGCAGATAAAACAGAGGATTAAAGAACTTGAAAGTAGAACACTGTTTTACATGAGGTTATTCTTAAACTTACTGCTGTGTCTCTTTTTTTTTAATGTAAAGTCATTTAAAGGCTGATCAGATAAAGTGTCAGACTTCTCCATGTGAGAAAACTGAACAGAAAGAGAGACTTTGAGGAGTAGAGGTAAAGAACCTGCTAGGGGTTCCTTTTACAGCACATTTACGCAGGACAAAAAGAACATCTTGACACAAGTATCTTGCCAAAGTAAGAGGACAAACCATATAATTGATAACGGGATTTAAATGAAAACTGTCCTTACTAAGAATTTTTCTGTTTCAGTTTTGCAAATTACTATCCCAGGCTCGACTATGTCTCAAGAGTTCACAAGAGCAGTGTCAGATGTGCTTATGTCCATCAAAGATGCAATACCTTCGTCCGATGATGAATCCAAACACCATGAAGACCAGGATGATTGTTCCTGCCACAGCAACCACAGCTATGATAATAACAGGATTCTGTTCACTGGAAACAGCTGTGGCTGCAAACAGAGCACAGAGTTGAGATTAGTAAAAAATTAATCCCTACTGAGGGACTTCAAAAATTTAAGTCAATCATCATGAATTGTAGATTGTCTACTGTTGTAGACTGCCTTTGTCTGAAACATTTACATTGATGAAGTTAGTCTAAAGAAGGGCCTCTATTGGAAATTCAACCAAATGCTGTACGAGTTAATGATTGTCTACATTGAATAGAAAGAAGCCAAGCTGGAATTATCTTGGCCAAAGTGGTACAGCCATTACCTGAAAGCCAGCACCACCACATCAGTCACTTCCACTCCCTACTACTGCTTTGCTGCATCTCTTTTGACTCCCTCCTAAAAGGGGAGTCCTGGGTATCCCTGAAGGAGGGACAGTAGGACAGTAATCCCCTAACTCTGCTCCTAGCCTCCGCTCTAAAACTCATTGATATGACTTTGAAAGCTTCCTAGGAAATACTGTCTTTAAGAAAAATGTTTGTGCTGAAACACTATTAACACAGATTTCCTAGGTAGCATATTTCAATCTCTTACTGCTATTAATCATTGTAAATGGCTATTATTACTTACCATTTGTTTCTGTTAGCAACAAAAAGGTGCTTCCACATTAATACAAAATAGAATTATCCATGCTTCAGAGAATTTACATGCTAAAATATCCCCACATTATTGCTCTTTTTATTCAGATATGCCAATTCTATTAATATATGTAAATGTATACATGTCACATTAATGTAAACTGAGGATGTAATACTTAGCCTGAGAAACCTTGAAGCTTGTTAAAAACATTGCTTGCCTGACATCTAATAAGGGTGGCCATGTACTCAGATACATTAAGTAAGCACAGCTCTCCTGAGCTCTGGAGATGCACTGGTTTGTAACAGTGAGGATCTGAACCAGAAGATGAATAGAGGATGAGACATGAGGGACTGTGTAAGTGAGAGTCAGCTGGAATCACAGAGTCATAGAATCATTTAGGTTGTAAATGACCTCGAAGATCATCAAGTCCAACCTTTGACCGAATACCACCATATCAACTAATCCACAGCAGTAAATGCTACTTACAGTGGCACTTGGAACACCTCCCTGAGTGGCCCCTTCCAATGACTGAACATCTGTTTAGTGACAAAATTCTTCCTGATATCCCCCGGTGCATCTTGAGGCTCTGTCTTGTCCTTGAGAATAGACCAACCCTCACCTTACAACAAGATCCATTCAGGTACTTTTAGAGAGTGGTTCCTCCCTGAGCCTCCATTTCTCCAGGCTAAACAACCCCAGCTCCCTCAGTTTCTCCTCATCAGACTTGTGCTGCTGAAAATTCTGTTCCCTTCTCTGGACATGCTCCAGCAACTCAATGTATTTTCCAAAGCGAGGGGCCCAGAAGGATGCAGGACTCACGGTGTGGCCTCACCAGTGCCAAATACAGAGCGATGATCACTATCCTAATCCTGCTGGTGACAATATTCCTGAAACAAGCCAGGATGCCCTTGGCCTTCTTTGCCACCTGGGCACACACTGGTTCATGTTCAGCCAGCTGTTGATCAGCATCTCCAGATCCTTTTTCACTGGGCCACTTTCCAGCTACTCTTCCTCTGACCTGTAGTGTTGCATGAGGTTGTTATGACCCAAGTGCAGGACTCAACACTTTACCTTAAAAACCTCATACAGTATTCTTTGGCCCATCCATTCAGACTGTCCAGATCCCTCTACAGAACGTTCCTATCCTCCAGCAGATCAACACTCTGGTCTGATTTAGTGTCGCCTGAGAGCTTGCTGAGGGAGTCCAAATCATCAATTGCTATATTAAACAGGACTAGCCTCATTACTGAGTTTAGGGGAACCCCACTAGTGACCACCCACCTGCTGGATGTAGCAGCATTCACTACCACCCTCTGGGCCCGGCCATCCAGCCATTTTTTAATCAGCAAAGAGTGCACCTGTCTAAGCCATGGGCTGCCAGTCTCTCCAGAAGAATGCTGTGGGAGTCAATATTGAAGGCTTTACTAAAGTCCAGGTGGACTACATTCCCTAAGTAGGTAACTTGGTAATAGAAGGAGATCAGGTTGATCTAGTAAGACCTGCCTTTCCAAAGCCCAAGCTGGCTGTACCTGATCCATTTGTTGTCCTGTATGTGCCATGGGATCCCACTCAAAATTATTTGATCCATGACCTTCCCTGGCACCAGGGTCAGGCTGACCTTAGCCTGTAGTTCTCCAGACCCTCCTTCCAGCCCTTCTCATAGATGGGTGTCACATTGACCAATCTGCAGTCCTCTGTGACCTCAGCCTTTTCCTCATCCTTGGCTACGCTCCTCCACATCAAGAAACCTCTTTTTGTGGTTAGTTTATTTATAAAAACACTTATTCTATTTCACAACAGACTGAGTTCTAGCTGAACTCTTACCTTCCCAGTTTTCTCTCTACATGACCTAAGAACATCCTTATATGCTTCCTGAGTTGCCTGCTCCTTTCTTCCAAAGGTCATAAACTTTTTTTTCCCTGAGTTCCAGTGAAAGCTCCCTATTCAGCCATGCCAGTTTTCTTCCCCACTGGCCCACCTTACAGCACACAGGGAGAGGCTGTTTCTGTGCCTATAAGATTTCCTTCCATTCCCTCACAGTTTGTTACCCATACAGTGTGCATTGGTGGAGATGCACTTCAATTGGGTTGATTTCACCCCCAACACTGGCATGCCACCCTTAGACTCACCTCTAGCAAGCCTGGTCTTACCCCCTTCCCCTTTCAAACCTAGTTTAAAGTCCTGTCAATCAGCCCTGCAAACTCACAGGTTAGAATCCTTTTCCCCTTTTAAGACAGGTGAATCCCATCTGTCTCCAGCAGGCCTGGGGCCGTGTAAACTGTCCCATGACTGAAATGCAGCCAACAGATGAAAGAGAAGGAAAAAAGGAAACCAAACTGATATCTGATTAACTAAATTAATAGTATGCTAAAATGGTTTACTGCTGGTACTGTAACTGAACTGGAATGTCTATACCAGGTTTTATGAACTCCACAGAATTGGGCTCCTGTTACAGACTTCAGAGGTTCCCATAGAAACAAATAACCCAGAATTTTCTTGGGAGAAGTAAGCCAATCAACATAATTTATTTTTTCACTGACACTGACCTGTACCAACTGTTTCCCCCCAAAATAACAAACCTTTTGTTGCACTACACAGATTTAGAATACTCTGCACTGGAGGGAAATTACACACACATCATACACACACCCCTCTAATTTTATTTCCTGAAGAAACTTGCAATTTTTCTATATTCTCTCTCATGTACATGAGGAAAATCACACTATTCCTATAACACTTCAACTAAAAAAAAATGCTTATCTTTAAGTAACTATAACTTCTAGATACACAGGTCAGTAGGATGCTACTGTAGACTTGCCTATATTCCACTCATGCAGCTTTTAAGAAATCAGTGGTGACTGTCTTGTGCAAGAGCATAGGGGCATAAGTCATACAACTCAGTTCTGCAACTTATCTAGGTCATCAAAACAGACAATCCCAAAGAATGTAAATTTCTGTAAAATACAGCATTTCCCTAAACTATTCCCATCTCTCTTTGAACTTCACTGCAAACCTCACTTGGAAGTGAAGAAGAAGCAGCATCCTGGCCAGGGTGTGAAGCTTCATCCATCCAAAAAAGTTTGGAAAAGTCCCCAGCCCTGCCTGTCACCTAGTCCAGTAGCCAAGATAAGTGCATAGAGGCTGACATATGTGAGTGGGTTGCTCTATGTAAGTGCCTCACAGATTTTGGGTACTGGCACATTCTGGAAGCAAGCAGACAATGTTTTTTGGGCTCTGGAAAATGTTGGGGATATGGTACACCGGCCAACTGGTAAGACAGGTGGGATGCAATGTATGATTTATTTTTATATCTTTAAAAAAAAGAGGGAGGGGGCTGATTGTGGGCATGGTCTGGTATAAATTCAGTGACAGCAGTGTAAGACATCTGCCTATGTTCAGGTACTCTGCTGCTTCTCCTGTGTGATGAACTCAGTCTGCTGGTGTAAGGGTGAATCAGAGCACAGCTTCTAGAATGATCCCTGTGGCTTGGCAGAAACAAAGATGCTAGAATGTTCTTAGAGGAATGATTTTGGGATGCAGAAGGTCTTTTCAGAGGGTGCACGCACGGCTACCTGTCACAGGTGATGCCACAATAGCGATGACAGGGAATCAGCACCAGGACAGGAAAGTTCTTACCTCTGCTTAAGCTGTGCTCAGGGTGAGAGGGTGGCACAGGGAGCTGGTACTTGGGCATTCAGCTACAGCTGACACCTGACCTGAGCCATCCAATGCACAATGCTTAATTTAAAGGAGTTAAATTTAAACCAGCTTTTAAATACATGGTTTGGGATTGGAATGCATATCTAAACACCCTGGAGGATTTACAAAAGGCTATCAGCTGAAATGCTGCGCTGATGCTCCAACAACCTTTTCTCATGCAAGCAATTTCAAATGCACAATTTCTGGAAAAGAATTCTTGGCCAAGTTTACCATGAAAACTTCAATGATAACTGGATCCATGTATGCCAAATACTATTTTCTTAAGTATTTCTTAAGTATGTGCTTTTTGCCTTCTATAAAAATTTGTAGTATTTGTATTTCAGACTTTGGAGATCAATTTTACGTATGCATAATGCTTCAATCTTGTTTGATTTACTCTGATTCATGGAAAAAGGAAAAAGCAAAGTCTTCATGCCAGGTTTTGTCAAGTGCTTCTACTTTAACAGTAAGAGCCTTAAAGAAGTCAAAGATTGGACTCGATGACCTCAGAGGTCTTTTCCAACCTAATTGATTCTGTGATTCTGTAAGTGGAAAGATCAGCTTCATTTACAAAAAAGCAGAGGATTGCCTTTAGGTCCACTGGCTACAAGCCACTTAACTTGACTTCTAAATATGTCAGTGAACCAGGAGATAGAATTGGACTTCAGTGATATTTCATACATTTGTGTGTTTTTCCAGAGGGACTTCTGTTTCTAATAACCAGTCAACAAAAAAATACAACTAGAAGCCATTGATTGATCTGTGGCAAACACAGTGTAGAACAGAAATGGTCTGCCTTTATGAAGCATATTACTTTGTAATTTTGAAATCTTTCCATAAATATCTATGCAATACCCAACATGTATGATATGATCCAATACAGGTATAATATATGTATATTTCACATATCAGATTGTATTAATATAATGGATATAATAGTTCCTCAAATATTGAAAATTGGCTATATGGTTTCTATCACGATTCAGAAAACAGCACACTATTCAAAAATCTACTTAATTAACAACACCAACCAAACAGTGCCAACCAGAGGAAGTGCCAGGATAAATCCACGTAGGCAACATGACTGAATGTGGTGGTCATTATATATATTCTTACACAAATGTATACACTTGTGTATTTTTTCTTAAAATACTTCGACATTTTTAAAAGCTGAATTCAGAAATCCACGTAATAATGAGAAGAAGCCAAAGCCTCTAAACTGTAGCTTAACATGGTTTAGTGTTCACCTGCATGGTATGTCCCTTGAGGTATATTTCCCAAAAACAATCCAATAAAGGTCTTCCTTTCAAATGCTAGCAATAGACAAATTTGATGAGTCTGTAAGTTCTGATAAAATTATAAATAAAATATAAGAAACTAATACTTTAATGTAAAACAATTTTAGAAAAGCTTAATGGAATTTGCTATATTTTACCAACATTTTAATTATTTTTGAAAACCCTATATGGGAAATCTTGTATGCTTTTCCTTGCTGGGAATTATATTTCATAATGTTGTCTCAAGATAATGGAAAATATGCTACTTTTAGAATCTTCTTAAATGAAAACACAGGACATTTTTCATGGCATCTCAAAGCATATAGCTGGCCTGTGACAAAAGAAACCTGCTGTGCATCCTGGCCAAGAATCTCTGTGGTTTATATGCATTTTTTCATCATCTGTGTCAGAAAAGGAGTACAGGAGAGTGGTCAGTGATGCATTTATTATAGGATTTTCTAATCTCCCATATGTTGACCAAACTCCAGTCAAAACTGTTTATCTTTGAAATCATCTTTGCTAATCTTAGCAGCTACCAGTCTGCTTACATTCAGTATGTAAAAAATACTCAGATAATTAAAAAAATGTTGGGGAAATATTTTGATGTAATAATTTTAAACCACTATGGACAATAAATTATCTAATTAGCAGAAACTTATTATGACAGACTTCTAATTTGTTTTCCAGAAAACTATTCAAAATAAGAAATTACTTCTGGCTGTACCTCAGGTTCCCTTTCCGCAAAATGGGGATTCTGCTACTGACTCTTTCTACAGATGGGAAGTATGCTATTAGACACAGAGCTAATAATATTAGTAATAACAGCTTACTGCTGCTATTATGATAATTACTGTTTCAATTATGTCTATTAGATATGTGGTATTATTCATTATTTATAGTTTTTATATTCTGTGTGGAACTAAGGTGGAATCACTGTATATTAACCACTGTATATTAAGAATAACCACAAGTTGTTCAGGCAACACCTGGTTGCAATTAACAGGACACAATAATGTGTGTCTGCACACACTCTTAGATAGACTGCTGCATGGGGTGCAAAGAGGGTATGGCATCCATACCCTTTGAGTTTACAGCCTAGGTATCCCTCTATTTCCAGCTCCCAATGTGGCTGACCTGACATCAAGGTCAATGTGAAGCAAATGCTCTAAACGAGGGTAACCAAATTTGGGTCTGTAACAGGGTGCTGGAGCTGCCAGGGATACAGCTCCTGTGAAGGGGCTCAAGGCTACCAGGTCTCACTGATGGAAGAAGCTTTTTGGTTACACAGCTGACAACTTTTTATATGAGCCTGAAAATAACTTAGTATCTTTGAGATTCCTATTTCTTTACTCAACTAAACTGCCAATGAATTCAAAATACACTAAAGATGGAATTACAGCTGAAGACACACACATAAACTAAACTACCAAGTTGTTGGGTTTTTTTCAGAAAATCAAATGGGAAAAAATAGCCTGGAGAAGTCTTTGTGGCTTGAAATCTCCTCCTTCCTTCTCTCCCCAGTTACAGAAGGATCTAGTTGAGTTATTCAGCTCACCACTACTCACTTCTTTTGTGGGGAAAAATAAGAGTGTATTTGAATTTTAAAAAAAAAGAAAAGTCTTCGTGCATTAGAAGGAGAGCAAAGGAGAAGAATCTAATATGTAACAAATCTCCTCCGGCCAATTATAAGGCTAGTTTTCACTTCTGTGGTAAAATAAATTATGGAAGCTCATCCTTCAAAAGACAATGACAAAAATTCACCTTCATGTAGAACCAAATTCTTTCTAATTGTAATTATATTGCTTATGACACTTTCCTTTCTTGCTTTACTTACTATCTCTACAGAAAGGGTTATTTTCCTGTAAACCTAATGCCTTACCTGTGGCTTCTTCCAATGTGGCAACATCCAGTCTGGGGCTGTAATTTCCATAACCAGCAGCAGTAAAAGCACGGATCTGGAAAACATACACTGTTCCTGGCTTTAGGTTATTAATAGAAGCTGAAGTGGACTTGGTTTTCACTGTCGAATAGGTCCTCTCCCTTTGATCCTGGAAACAATAGGACAAAAGATTAAATGACATTTACAGATGAGATTTTATCATGATTGCAACTGACAACAGCAACTGACAGCCAGCCTGGGTAGTTTATTTCAATTGTTGAATGCTCTCTTCCCCAACGACAAAAATAAGGCATACTCTGTGAAGTATTACAAAACATTGTCAATGCAATGATGAGCTCTAAGTGTAACATAAAATTCAAATGGGATGCTCATGTTGTTACTCAGAAAACAGAAAACATCCAAAAAAAAAAAAAAAAAGAATGCTTTTTTGGCTCTGATTAAGTTTTGTGACATTTTGATGAGAAAAAACTCAACCACAGATTTCCAGGGGAATCTGTGAGGTCTAAACAGTTCAAGGACAGGGAAATTTTTCTTTCTTTGTCAGAACATGACAAACATAGGGCTGCACAACCTGCCTTCATTCTGCATTAATTCAGTTTACAGCTGTCAGAATTTTTTTATTTCTAGAGTACTTCAAAGTTATAATGAATGAAGTCATAGACATTGTGAAATGAATGGAAAAACTCTGACATCATTACTTTGACATCGTACCCTTCTATCACCTCTAAAAATACAATATTGCCAATGTATAATTGGCTGGATTTTGCATAATTTCTGAGGTCCTTAACTCAGTTTTCATTCGGATTTTTATCTCTGGTTTTTAGTCTTTTCTCAGTTTTAGGCTCTAAGGCATAAAGAGGAACCCAGGGAAAGAAGCTCAGTATGACTCTCCACAAATTTGAAGCTGTAAGATTACAAACCCTATGAGTAATAACTCACTTTCAAATAGTACAAAAGCTGTATCACAGATCATTAGAGTATTCAAAAAGCTATACTTATTCATCACATTTACTGACACAGATTATGTTTCAGCATAGATATGTGGAGCCCTGTTGATTTTTGGTGGCAGATGCAACCCTGATTTGAAGGGCAGAAGAGATGAATTAACCAACCATCTGAATGCACCACATGACCAGAGAAGCATGAGCTGAACACAGCAGTGCTAATGAGATGGATACAGAGGGAAGGAATAAATCTGTAACTCATTTCAATAATATTTCACCAGCTAAAAGGGATGGAGAGCCTTCCCTGTCACAGTCAGTAAAGCAACAAAGGCTTTTGCTGAAATACGGGGTTATACAGAACATACATTACTTCTTTTCTCAGATCCAGTAAGGGCTTCTTCTGGTTCTTGCCCAGTCTGTTACTTGAGCAAGCCCAAAGTCTTGGCTAGCAACAATTTTCCATATCCTTTCCTAGAGAGTTTAAATAATCTGTAAGTGAGGACCGTGGCAGAATGTATGTTGGTATGTGAGAAAGAACAGGAATGCTTTAGAGATGACACACAAGGGTAAGGAAACCATAAACAGTCAGGTTCAGGACTGTAAGCCACAGTGGAATTCCAGTTTGGGTTTTGATGCATAAATGAGGCTTATTTGAATTGCCAACAGTCCTTGTATTGAAAAATAAGTAAATAACAAAAAATAAAAATAACCTGCACTAGAAATCTCACAGGAGGGCTTTCTTTGGAGATTTCAGGCCGTTTCCATTCCAGCCCTAGCCAGAAGTGAGAGGTGAAAAAACACTTATCAGAGTATTTCAGGATGACAAAAATTGTTTGATTTAATTTGGCTTTAAAATGAGCTGAAAGTTCAAATCCTTTTATTTTTCTTCTCTTCTAAACTGGTGGAACAAAACTTAAATAACCTCTCTCATTCTGAGCAAGAAGACTGTGAATTAATTTTAAAGCTGAAATGCATTTATTTGGAAGGAAAACAACCATTTCAGTATTTGTGCAAAAATTGCTTCAGTCAAAGTTATATATTCCAGTTTATCTGTGATTGTTAGAATGAGCTTTTTATTCTCTTTTATTAATTTCACTGTACTAAGTATAATACTGGACAATGTTCTTCCACTAAAAAAAACAAACAAAAAAAAAATAAACAAAACAAAAAAAACTTTAACATCAATTTTTATTTTTGCAAACACAGAAAAAATTTGCAATGAAATTCTGCTCGTTATTTAAAATGAGTATACAGGGAAAATAATAAAAGCCAGATTCCAAAAGCTATCATTATATAAAAAGCTGGGTATGTTGGTAATTTTTATTTCATTTTACATTACCCATTTAAATTATTTATTTTACTTGAACAGATTAGAAACTGCTCTGCACATTAAAGAAATGCAAGCTTTTTGGTTCTCAATTTATTTTTTTTTTGGTTGAGAGGACAGTTTTGCTTTTGTTAAATATGTAACATTTTAAAAATACTTGGACTTTATTTGCATGTGTATGTACACACACATGCTTGAGGGACAAAAATCATCTGCTAAAATTAGTAAAATTTCTTCCAAAGAATTATTTAGCTATCTGTACCTATCTGTCAGATTTTATTATAAGAATCATTAGAGTGAAGAACTTAACCTGGAAGTTAGCCTCAACAAATAAAAATTTTATTCCTTTCCCAAATCATATAAAGATCTTTTGATAAGTATATTTCTGTAATTCAGCACTGAAAATGAAATATGACACTTGATATTACATCTAATCTGGGCTGAATTTACCTAACTCTGTGACCCAGCAAGCTGACATGCTCTTTTTGATATAGGGGTACTGTTACCTTGCCTGCAGAAATGTCTTCATGACTGACCACAAAGGAGCCCCTTTATTAATTTTTTTTCCCAATGTAATTCAATTTCTTTTTTTCCCCAGAATGTTTTATAAAAATTAGGAGTATGTTATGTTATGCAGACAATTTCCCAGGGAATCTGGAGGAGCCAAACTTAGTCTGGGTCCCATGACAAACATAGAGCTGCACAACCTGCCTTCACTCTGCTTTCATCCAGTTTACGGTTGTCAGAATTTTTTTATTCTGCAGTACTTCAAAGTTATCATGAATGAAGCCCTAGACATGATGAAATGAATGGCAAAACTCCGACTGACATCAGTAAGATTGCAATTTCACTCTACCAGAAACAGAGATCACTTCATCTACGACTGAAAAGCAGCCTTCCATTCATTACTGTGTTGAGAGAACAACTGAAAGATAAATTTCACAGTCCCGGTCCTTTTTAGAAGGAAAAATAAGGAATATTTATTTCCTAAAAGTCTAGGAAGTGTTTTTAAAAAATTTCAGACATCAAGTAGAAGCTGCCCAGCTCATAAGGAAATACAGAATTCAGTCAGGAGTTGTACTTGATACATAATTTCAAGACTAGAATTACATTGGTACAGAAGGAAATGAAACAGGCTTCAAACACAATGTAGAATAGATGTAAAAACAGGAATTTAATGGTAAAAAATATCCAAGTACAACTTAACAATTAAAAAAAAAGGCAGATTTCAAGGGTATATTTCGTTTTTAGTATGCCACAATATAATATATGAGACATATGATAGCAATAATAATGGCAGGATTTAGCTAGTTATTGAAAACAAGCAAAATCACTGACTTTGCAGGGACGAGGTAGTTGATAGCTGATGATTTTAACACTGTTCCACAATGCATAAAGCAAACACCACATTCTTGCACATTACAGATAATCTTAGCACTTACTTTCTCATAATACTTGATTTCATATTCAGTAATGACTCCATTGGGATGTTCTGGTTCCTGCCAGGAAAGCTCCACGCTCCTCTGCAGCACTCTTTCTTTCATTACACCACTAACTTGCGAGGGAGCTGTTTGGACAAGATGTGTCAATAAATAAAAAGCAAATTCACTGGATGGCTAAAATCAAATGTCATTACTGATCCACCCCATGCTGAGCAACTTTCATTAAGGTAAAAGAAAGCACCTTTTCATAGCTCACAATTCAAAGCTAATGAATATTCTAGCAGATGCCTATTACTGTTCATAAACTTAGAACAGAAATTGAACTAAAGTGCAAACAGCAAAAGGTGTCATCGTTTGAGTTGGTACAAAACTGAGATTGATGGGATAGGAAAAACAATTAAGCAAATTAATTCTAATGACGAGAGCAAATCAAATTTTTAGACTGAAGTGTAGCAAATTAAGAGTCTAAATATTTATTGCATATGTTTCTGAAATGCACATAAAAAGAGAAATAATCTTTTAGAAACAAAATCACATTTTAGGCTGATTTGATATGACTAATTCCAGTTCTGCTTAGAAATAATCTCTCACATTATCTGATTACGACATGATGGTGATGAAAATGACTTTGTTGAGAGACTAAGCCTACTCTTTTTCATTAGTTCCAACCTTTCCAGGACATTTTCTCTTTAGAGCTGAATTTCCATATTTGGTCTTAGCATTTTTGAAAGTGCCAGACAATTTAAGAAGTAGATCTTATGGAACAAAGGCAACTCTGTCTTCCTCTGCCTCGCTCTACAGAGATATAAATAAATGTACACTTTGTGCACACACATGTATACACACTGAGTTTCCTAATAAATATCGCCCACAAACAAGGACCTTTTGAAATTAAAAAACCCCAAACCCAATATAAAAGAATTATAGGGACATTGACTCTCATATAAAAATGTTTAAGAGAGAATGTAATAAACTGTGAGAGACTGAAAAAATAACTTGCTTTCTCAACTTATTTTTAATGAGAAAGACAGCAGATATTTTTCTGATGTGCAGCATCAAAGGAGGCCAAACATCACAGTCTTCCTCAAACATACACACTGAATTTAGAACAGAAGTCCTGTAAAACTATAGCACTTCGAAAAACAACTATGGTATTGGAACCATGCAGAACTTGATCTTGTTCTCATTCAGTTTAATGGAAATCAATTTTGCTCATGCAAAAGATAAAGAACAGGCGGACTTGACCCTCAGCCTCCTACAGTTAAAAGCTAAATGCCATTTACATGGGTAAGGACTTGGTATTGGGCAGACTCAAACACAGGAAAGGTGCCTGAGATAAATTTATTAGAAATAACATGCTAGAGCTAATACTAAAGATATTAGAGATAAAATTATACATTTTTCTAACTCAGAATCTAATACTGATTCTTTATTGAAATTCTTCTTTAAAAGACTGATAATTTTAAATATTTTAGGTAAAAAACCACCACCCTATTTTAGAACTGTGTATAAAGCTTTCATCATGTAAAATTATGTAGTCTTCATAAAAAATGTAATTCTTATCCCAAGCAACAAGGTGATCTTCACTTTCTCTAGTTTTTTTAAATAACATAAAACATCTAGAATGCACACTCCTGTATCGTTAAGTATAAAAACATAATGACAAAAACAAAATACCTGCAGCACAATCAAGAAAATAATCCTCTGAATAATTAAATTGTATTGTTAACTTCTTACTGCGATTTTGAAGTTTCTAGGATTTTTTTAAAATTACAACATGTATGTTCATGTAGGCTAAATTTCATTGGAGGCTCCAAGAATACATGAAAATTAGGTTTTGAAGCCACGCATGATAATCTTCATTATGAACTATTATGCTGTACATAATCAATATAATCAAAGTTGAAGATCTCTTACTCTAGGCTGCCTAAATGATAAAATCATAAAATTGTATCAGACCAACAACCTGGGCTGCTGCATGAAGCCAGGAACTGTCTCACTCTCCTTGCATTCTCTTTCTAAAAGCTGAGAGTATGTTCACTCTTTAATTAGTGAAATATATTCTTTTTCATAGCTAGGACTCCGGATTGCAGGAAACTAATTTACTGTCTAGTTTTCTTTGACATGATTAACTAGTTGTCTTCTTTGCCTAAATAAGTACCTCTGCATCCTGAATGAATTTCAGAGAGGTCATTATGTTTCATGTATAACTTTCTATCTCATCCAGATAAATGTTTCTCAAATTGCTAATCTTACATTTTTAGATGTCTGAAATTGTTAATGTTGGTACTTATCATTGAACAATTTTATATTACCTAGGTCACTGGAATTTGTTTTCCATGTTTCCTGCTATTTTTGTTTTTGCTTATCAAATTTTTTTATTCTGTTTGCCACAGCATTCATTTCTCTTAAAGCAGTGAAGCAAAATAAACTTGATATTAGTTAACTCTGTGTATGTGGGAAAGGAACAGGAATGTGAAGGAGGAGGAACCGAGAGAGGGGAAAGATTTTAATTGAGGAAATGAAATACACTGTGTGACATTCCTGCTTAACACCTGTACAAAGTACATAAAAACCAGGCATAATCCATTCTTAAAGAATTTCCATTCAAACTAAAATCCCACTGATTTATCAACATTGCAAGACAGCATTCAAATTGGTTTGGTTTGGGGTTTGTGTGTAGGGTTTTTGGCAATTTGTTTTTTTTTGGGGGGGGGGGTTTTGCACCCAAAACTAAAAAAGTTGTGCTACCTTTCATTGCTAGAAGAATCACGAGGAAAAAGTAAAAGTCCAAACCTACAATCCAACCTTGCATATGCTGGCAGCTCTGAAGACAATTATGTTGCATATAATTCCCAGACCATGTGAGATTCCTAAAATGCAGCGTGCTATTTAACCTTATTGAAGTCCCCATGTTTTTCAGGGGAAGAAGGGAATCATCAAACTGACTGAAGCCAGAGTATCCTCCTCTGGCAATGAGCACCAGTTTGTTTTCACTGATTTCACAGAAATCTTTCAAACTAGAGCAGCCACATAAGCCAATCCATTGAGAGGGTAGGCTAACTTTATCCTGCCTTTTGGGCTGCATTTCTTGATCTCTGCTTAATGAGAGTATACAGGTCAGAAGCATTTTGGTGTTTATTCTACAATAATAACTTCCTCTGGCTTCTCTCTGTGGCTTTCTTACAGATGGTTTTACAGTTTTACATTCATGTTTTATTTGTTATGACTTCCTGACATCTCCTTTTAAACCTTTAGCCAACTTCTCATTGCCTATCTATGCTAATTAATTAACAACTTTTTGTGGTTTTGCAACAACAATTTTGAGCAAGCCTGAAAATGAGTTAAAGAATACAATTCATCCTTAAATACAAGATAAATTAGGGAATTAAATTGCAAAAAAAAAAAAAGATAACTCCATAACAACAGGATTAAAATAACATATTTGTTCCCATTTCTAGCTAACCCAATAATGATAATAACAATAATAATAAACTACTTCAGGGTGTTTTTCTTCTAGTAATCTACTTCTTGCCACTGCATCTCTAATGAAGTCTTTCATGGCAAAGACACTTCTTACAGCATTTCTAGACAACTATCTACCCAGTCCTGAATGACTTGAGCATGCATAATCCCTACTGTATCACCCCAGGTAACAAAGAAGCATCACTTGACAGAATCATTATTTCCATAATACATTACACGGGGGGACACGCACTGTTCAAAACACCATTTGCTATCAACTTTCTTTCTGATATACCTCATCTCTTCTTTTTCTCCTTCCTGCTGACACAACATCCAATGCATCAAACACACACAGCCTCTCAGGGCTAATAGGCAGATGTACCTACACACGCAGCATAAGAAAGTACTTTGAGAATGACAGGTCCTCAGCACGCTCATTCACCTTCTTTAAATGCTTCAAATGTACCATTCAGCAAAAGAAAAAATTGATTTTCCCCAGGTTTCAACATCACAGCCACTGAGAAATATAACTGTGCTGGGTTTTACTGATAAAGCCTTCAAGTTATATAGATTTCAAGCTGGTCATCATTTTCAGATCAAGTTATAGAAAAAGTTAAAACTGAGGTGACAAAAAGAGCAGGATATTCCAAGGATATATTCTCTTCCAGAGAGAACATTGCATCTGGTAGACTGATGTGTTCCATCCATACTCCTAAGCCAATCATATGGTACATTATTAATATGTGCAAATATTAAGGCATAGAAAACTGTAGCAATTGTTTTAGAAGTCACTACTTTTAGTCAAGAGTCATTTGAAAATTTTAAATTATAATACTGCTCATGCCTTTAATCCCTATCTTTAGCTATTCTCTGGTTCTCATTTTCCTTGATCCATAATGTGCTTTCCAGAAGGCAAAGACAGGTGTATCCAAACACATCACCACCAAAAAAACAAAGCAAAGCAACAAAATCCCAAACAAAAAAACCCAAAACCAACCAAGCAAAAATGCCAAGCAAATAAAACAACAACAAAAAAAAAAACCCAATAGAAACTGAAAAATTAAAATACATGAAGCAGGACTTACTTTAACATATAAGAGGAATTAGGCATAATGTACCAATTGCTAGCACAGAATTTGCTGTAAACATCTTTTTTACTGAAGACAGATATGTCAGCAAAAGGAACATACATATCAATTTTTCAGTGATTTCCTAAAGTCCTGAATATTGAATGTATCTCAATTCCATCAACAGCAGCAGTCATGGAGGCTTTTAATTTGATACTTTTTAAATAGTGTCTCTAAAATCAGCATCTTGTGTAACAAAATACTGAAAATTCTTAGAAATAAGGGTTTACAATCCTGCAGTCACACTTCATACAGAAAATTTCATAAATGAACAAGAGTACATGCTCCAGGACTAAACTCAGTATTAACAAATTCTACCAAATCCATGCTTGCAACTCCAGTTTCATGACTTGTCATACAAATTGTAAAGAATGAATGGGCTATCAGACTTCCTTTTTTTTTACTTATTATTCCCTATCTTACAACAGCAATAATGTGCTCAAATCAATCTGAGCTTCCTCTTTTACTTGCTGAAGTCAAACAGTAACCCTGGCACTTTGATAGCACCCTTACTGCACTTCCTAAAGGACAAC